ATGAGAAGGATATACTGCTCGAGTGTTTACAAATATCGCTGCGCTTCTCAGAAATCCTTGACGATTCGGATTGTAATTGGATACGTAACAAATATCGAATATCCGATCATAACAAGAAGAATATCGCGAACAAAAGATCTGAAATGTACAGCGGAAAGTAATGTTATATATTCATTAAAATTGATATTCAAATGCCTTCTTGTGTGATCATTAATATTCGAAGCACTTACGATAAACAAATCTTACCGATGCTCGATGAAAAATAAAATTATAATTTTTAATTTTCCAGTGAAAAACAATGTAACTGTCATTTAGGAAGTATAATCTTTATTTGAAATATTTATAATTAATTTACAATAAAAAACATTTTAATTCATATCCTCTTTACAATGAGCTGCTGACCCTAGCAGCTAGAAGGGCCGGGATATAATACTATTTATTCATCATCATAATCATCATAATCATTGTTCACTAACATTGTTTTTTAAATCAGCGTATACAATTAAATATTGATTACGAAAATATATAATACCAGACATTAAGTCTTTGTGTGGTGCAAGACCGGCAAAATAATTTTTGAAATCATTTTTATATTTAAATATTACATTTATATTTAGACTACTTTGTATAGCGATAAAGTTTAAATTCATTTCCTCTTCGCATGTAGCGCTTAACATAAATGGGCAATCGGAATTCTGTATTACTTTTAAAGATTCGGACCATGTCTGCGACTCATCAAGTTTCGTTTCAAATCCTACGATCAAATCTGGTATCTGATAACTTTTACTCGTTTGTATATAATCATGGTATAACATACAAATAGGAAAAAATTTTATTTTTTTTCCGTTGTTTTGGCAATAATTACAAGTATTATGTTCATAGTTTTCCATGTCTAATTCTGGTCCTACCATCATAATTATTAGTTCCTCAATTTCCGGTATAAGGTGTAACAAAACTTCCCAAGCCGGTAAACTATGTCTATCTACAGACTTTACGGCTATAATATGAATAATAACACATTTCTGATGTAAAACATTACAAGTCATACCGCTATATATCTTTTCGAATGCATAGTAGATTGACAATGGTCTTGAAAGGTAATCAGACAAGATGTAATCTTTTACAAGCCATTTTACGTCATCTCTTGATAATACACATTTCATGTAAAATTCGAGCATCTCGTTTACACGTGTATCTCGTTTTACCCTCGAAAGAAATTCATACGATATATCAGTCATTGTGCCAGACATAGTTTCGATATTTATATTCAGCAAACGCGTCAATACTACGCACGAGTATCCATCATGTTTCTTGCGAAAAGCTTCTGCGTGTTCATTGCAAAAATTAGCGGAAAAGCATTTTTGACAAGCTCGTAGTTCGGCCTGTTTATAACAAATAGCGCATGTTTTTGACCACATGATCATCTGTTTCACGTACATCTCTATTGGACTGCCAAAAGTCTCTTCGGCTGATTCCATAATAATTTTTCTTTTTACGAACCATATTTGCCAGCTGCCGTATCTGCGCGTGTCATTTTGCGGTTTTATTTCCAAAATCTGTGCTACAATTTTGCAAATATGCGCGTGTTCTTCGTAGTGTTGCATTTTATGCTCGTTATTGCAATAAGAAATCAAGCAGCACTCATCACATAGTATCATATTACCTTTGTCTACCGCTTTGCAGACATGACAAATATTTGGATTGAAAAACTGATTATAACATTCAGCTGTTTGTGCCCCATGATATTCAAATACTTGTGTGTTTGGGTTCATACCGATGTTTTCGTTTGATGAAGTTTCTGAGTACTTTCTATATAATATCACAAGAAATAATGCAAGAAATTATGCGTGAACTAAATCTCAATAATAAAATTCTTTCAGTTCTCGTTGTATGGATGTTTATGCAACGATTGCTCGAAGGACAATAATAAAATATTTATATGTTCCTAAGTGTCCCTTGGTCGGTCTCTGTTGTCAATTTAAAATGTAACCGATACAAAGGACAGAAATAAAAATATTTGTTTTCAAATAGAATAAGTAATTCGAATAAATTTTGAACATATAATGTAACACGTAATATAATATAACAAATATGTATAGACTAGAGATGAGCGATATCGATACCGATTATAGCTTATAATCGATTATTTCTGTTCGATGTCCCATCTCTAGTACAGACATATACTATATATGAAGTACAAAATGAGTAGATATTACCATTTACCGGCAAGAACACAAGAAATACAATGTATAACAATATGAGAGATTTAAAATATTAAACAATAAGTTGAACATTATTTCTAAGATTTTTTTTAAGAAATATAATCTTATTATCTTTATATTCATTATCAGATAAATGAAATGAGCTCCGCGAGATTGTTTCAACTCTCAAATCCTATAAGAAGACACTTATAAAAAAGAATAAGTAGTTTTCTCATTCTTGGCTACTCGACATTATATTTAAATTTTATAAAAACTGCCGAGCATCGTGTCCTAAAAAAAGCCCCTAATTTTTGCGGATAAATTCAAATTGAATTTATCGTAGACAAAAATAGAGAAAGAGAATTTGTGAAAAATATTTTTTACTTATTTATAAAATGTTAGTTAGATAGACACTATTACTTGCTCTTTTACATGTATTATTCACTTACCTATTGATATAGACCAAGCCCTTCTCCCTTGCTTGTGTCAAAGCGATTTTCTTGGCCTCTCACATGTCGTTGCCATCGACAATCACGTTCACACCGTACTGCCGACATGCTATAATCTTCATTATCGGAGCTACCACCGGCATCACCACCGTCACAGGTATCTGCAACTCTTTTCCATGATAGCAAACAGCCATGACGTGATTGCCCAAGGAGCCCGATATCACATCTGTATGATTCTGCTCGTCGTTGAGGTGCAGCAGAGCGTTTCGGGCAACGCGTTCCTTGAAACTACCGGTAATTTGAAGGAAGACTTTCTTAATGTAAAGGTCCATACCGACAGGCGTGATGTCTAAATAATTTAACTAGTCTTAATCCTAGGTTCTAATGATCATAAAAACCCATATTGGATTAAATCGTGTGATTTTGTAGTCACGATTTGAGATTTATTAAGAACAGCCGGACAATCGTTTCGATTTCACGTTCCCTGATAAATGTTGAGAACCAGAATTAGTACGACAACTGATAGTAAAACATAGAACAAAGGAACGGTATATGAAGGTTTCTCACAGACGCGCTTGACCATTGGCGAAGTCACATGTATATACGGTATCTCCTAGTACTCTAATAACTTAAATTAATCAACACGCTTGCTATGAGCGCCACATATGTATGACACACCGATTTCCTTCAAGAGACAAGCGTCACGTACATTAACAGCAATAAATATTTCTTTCTTTCTTTCCATATCTACATAAACTCGAAATCTGTTTCTAGACTATCGTATAAAAATATAGCGTAGTCTACATGCAAACGAGGGTTTTTAAATTAATCGTGACAACAAATATTAACAAGAGTTAAATAACATTTTTCGATTAAAATAACGTGTTTTGATATTACACAATTTATAACACGTTATATACATATAACTCGTTTCTACAATCAACTTTCCCTAAGCTATAATCTGCAAAACATTTTCGTTAAAGTTGAAACGGAGGAATGATAACGGTAAGACAAGATAGGAAAGTGATGAAGACAAATTTCCTGCTTACTTGATCAAATTCAACTTTTTATATTTATTCTACTTCGAAATATCTTTTCATTTTTCTCTATTAACGTTAAATAAGTCTAATACTCATTTCCTTGAAGTCGAGTGTCGTCTCTTAGCCGCATGTCTTTCCGACTTGAGTGTCAAAAGGAAAACAAGTTCATTTGAATCAAATGTCTTGTGCACTTGTGAATCACGCCAATCATCCATCGTTTTTCAAAGACGGATTTGAAGCACTTGACTTCAAAAACATGAATATTAGATATATTTAACGTTAATAGAAAAATATAAAGAGAAAGAATCTTTGAGGACCGATTTTGCAATGATAATTTAAACTTAGACTTCAACTTAAACTCTATTTAAACAACATAAACGCATTATTAGAATAGAGTTTAAACTTGAATCTAAGTTTAAACTGCTATTGAAAAGTTGTCTTCGAGAGCGCTAACATTTTATCATTCTGCATGTTAAAATGTACTTAACCACTTAACGATTAAACATCTTTATTTACAAAATGAAAAATTAGCAACTGGCGGCGCAAAGATAAAGTATCCTAAAAAAGATTTTTACTGCTGAATTTTAAAATGCATCTTACGTAAATTATTCCTTCACATAGTCACCAATGGCTGAATGTAACTCGTATTATGCGAGATGTTCTGTTTAAATCATTTGTATTAAAATATCTGCGTGATACAAAGTATCCTACGAGAATATATCATAATTAAAAATTATAGAATCTTAAAAGAATCAATCGAAGATAACGCTCAACCCAAAACACCCACTGGAAATTATCTTTATTTATTTCAATTCCTAATTACTGTTTATATTTGACGACAGCGTATTATCGCTGCTGAAAACGACTTTGTAATAATTCTGATGGAGTAGATTTTTTAGATGTTCGACGTGCTCCTGATTCCTCGTCTCGCAGACAACCTTAAAATCCACGCTAAATATGTCGCACATTATCCAAGCCGTCTCATGCATGATGTCCTTTATGGAGACGACGATACCCGCCAGAGTCCTGCAGAGCTCAACAATACCACCCGGACGATCCGAGACTGTCACCATGAATTTCAAGAGGCGGCCCTCTGTCGCTAATCCACGCTCCAGGCACCTGCCCAAAACGGTTGTGTCGATGTTGCCGCTGCACAGTCGTAACGCCACTCTGATAAGCAGAATTACAATATTACATCGCCAATTACAAATCCAACGTTGCGCTCTGCGCTTTAAATTTTGAGAGATATTTGTTCCCCAAAAACAAATAATTACATTGACCTATATATCATTATGTTTCCATTTATGTTTCTTCTTTAAGGAAACTTTTTAAATTTGAAGAGAATAATTTCCAAAAAAGTTTCCACGTATAAATTACACATATGCATTTTACTTGACACATATATATATATATATATATATATATATATATATATATGTGTTTGTGTTTGTATGTGTGTTAATCGTCACGCTGAATTAACGTGTGAATCTCACGTGACACAAATTCTCGTTATGTCATGATATCAAAATATTTTCTTGTTTTCGATATTCATCTAAATATTTAGCAAAATTATTCTTAATCAGATGAATAACTTTACTCACAAACGTATGAGTTTTCGCAGAGGCGAAATCGTATCATTCTAATTAATTTACAACACCAATTGTAACCTAATGAAACGAACTTGAAGAAAGTGACATTGAAAGTCACCTTTTTCAACTCACTTCTTTCCCTTGAGTTCGTCGAGCTGACCAGCCAATATCGCTACTAAACCTGTCGCTCCTTCTCCCTCGACAACGTATTTCTCGTTCTCGACCAGCTTCAAGATCGCGATCGCAATCCATTCTTCTTTTACTATGACCATTTTATCGATCAACGAATCCATGTTAGCAAACGCTCAGACAACAAAAATCATTCCTTGAAATACTCGAGTTTGACACGTGGTACGAAAAAGCGACTTAATATAATAAACCGATAATTAAGAAGTTGAAGGAGAATAAAACCATGGACTTACCATAATCATGCAATTCGGATGAACTGTTTTAACAGATATCGCAACACCTGCTATTAATCCAGCGCCACCGACGGGAACCACTACGGCGTCGATGTCTGGCACTTACTCGACGATCTCTAAGCCGAGAGTACTTTAACCAGCTATAATATGTGGATGATCATATCTAATTAAAACAGAAAGAAACACTAAAGAGAAAAACGTCATACAATTATGGTCAATTTTGTGACGAAAGTTCACCGAAATAAAGAAAAATACTGATCGACCGTTAATTATTGCTATAATTATAATTATAATTATAACGATCATCTTCCTTGCAAGACAGAATCTAAAAAAAATGTTTCTCCCTGATTTTAATAAACGTTTTGGGTATATTATAAAAAAATAAAAATACAAGATATATACATCTCTACACGTGTTTTCTTACATGTTTACTAGTTAGTACTTACCCCTAAAACTTAGCCCAATATATCTAATAGTCGTTGTAAGCGAATAAACCTTAAAATATTGCGAGATATATAGAAAGATATTTCAAAAATGTTGAGCTACTTAATGCGTTACCAATTAATTATTACTGCCGACATAAATGTTACATGACTGTCATATATCACTATATGGTTATATATATAAATATAAATATATATATATAATATATATATATATATATATATATATATATATAAATATAAATATATATATATATATATATATAAATGTAAATATATATATATATATATATATATATATATATATATGGGTGTGTGTGTGTGTACATTAATATGTGCATTAAATACTTTACTCATGAGAAGGAAATACAGATCGAGTGTTTACAAATGTCTCTGCGCTTCTCAGAAATTCTTGACGACTCGGATTGTAATTGAATACATAACAAATATCGAATATCCGATATATCGCGAACAAAATATCTGAAATGTACAGCGGAAAGTAATGTTATATATTCTTTAAAATTTATATTCAAATGCGATCTTCTGTGACCTTTAATATTCGAAGCACTTACGATAAATAAATCTTACCGATACTCGACGAAGAATTAAATTATAATTTTTAATTTTCCATTGAAAGCAATGTAATAGTCATTAAGGAAATATAATCTTTATTTAAAATATTTATAATTAATTTACGTTAACAAACATTTTAATTCATATCCTCTTTACAATGAGCTGCTGGCCCTAGCAGCTAGAAGGGCCGGGAATTGATTGCATTAGTTCAAGATCACTTACACTGTCAAAATCTATTAAACTTTTGTATGTACTTAAATATTGGTTACGAAAACGTATAATACCAGACATTAAATCTTTGTGTGGTGCAAGACCAGCAAAATAATTTTTCTTAACAATAGGTACTACAGCTACATTTAGGGCATGTTCAATAGCAAGCCTGTCATTATCAACTTCCTCTTGGCATTTAGCGCTTAAAATTAATGGACAAAGAAAATTCTGTATTACTCTTATACATTCGGACCATGTCTGCGTTTTATCAAGTTTCACTTCAAATCCTACGATCACATCTGGTAACTCATAACTTCTAACCGTATGTATATAATCATGATATAACATACGTGTAAAATAAAAATTAATTCTTTTTCCTTTCTTTTGGCAATCATTACAAATATCATGATAAAATTCCGTCTGTAATTCTGGTCCTATCATCATAATTCTTAGATCACGCATTTCCGGTATAAGGTGTAACAAAACTTCCCAAGCCGGTAAACCATGTCTATCCACAGAGTTTGCGGCTATAATATGAATAACAACTAATCGCTGATGTAAAACATTAAAAGTTTTATAATCATATATCCTTTCGAGTTCATAGTAGATTGACAATGGTCCTGAAAGGTAATCAGACAAAACATAATCTTTTGCAAGCCAGTTTACATCGTCTCTTGATATTAATACATATTCCATGTAAAATTCGAGCATCTCGTTTACACGTGTATCTTTTACCCTCGAAAGAAATTTATACGATATATCAGTCATTGTGCCAGAAATAGTTTCGATATTTATATTCAGCAATCGCGTCAATAGTTCGCACGTGTTTCCATCATGTTTCTTGCCAAAAGCTTCCGCGTGTTCATTGCAAAAATTAGCGGAAAAGCATTTTTGACAAGCTCGAAGTTCGGCCTGTTGATAACAAATAACACATGTTTTTGACCACATGATCATTTGTTTCACGTACATCTCTATTGGACTGCCAAAAGTCTCTTCGGCTGATTCCATAATATTCCTCCTTTTTACGAACCATATTTCCCAGCTGGCGAATCTGCGCGTGTCATTTTGCGGTTTCATCTTCAAAATCTGTGCTACAATTTTGCAAATATGAGCGTGTTCTTTGTAGTGTAGCATTTTATGATTGTTGTTGCAATAAGAAATCAAGCAGCACTCATCACATAGTATCAAATTATCTTCGTCTACCGCTTTGCAGACATGACAAATATTTGGATTGAAAAACTGATTATAATATTTAGCTCTCCGTGGTCCATGATATTCAAATATTTGTGTGTTTGGGTTCATACCGATGCGTTCGTTTGATGAAGTTTCTGAGTACTTTCTATATAATATCACAAGAAATAATGCGAGAAATCATGCTTAAGCTGAATCTCAATAATAAGATTTTTTCAATTCTCGTTGTATGGATGTTGTTGCAACGATTGTTCGAAGGACAATAATAAAATGTTTATATGTTCCTGAGTGTGTCTTGGTCGACTTCTGTTGTCAATTTAAAATGTAACCGATACAAGGGACAGAAAAAAAAAATATTTGTTTTCAAATAGAATAGGTAATTCGAATAAATTTTGAACATATAGAGAAACACGTAATATAATATAACAAATATGTACAGACTAGAGATGAGCGATACCGATACCGATTATAGCGTATAATCGAATATTTCTGTTCGATGTCCCATCTCTAGTACAGATATATACTATATATGAAGCATAAAATGAGTAGATATTACCATTTACCGGCAGGAACACAAGAAACACAATGTATAACAATAAGAGAGATTTAAATTATTAAACAATAAGTCGAATATTATTTTTAAAAATTTTTTTAAGAAATATAATCCTATTATATATATATTCATTATCAGATATATGAAATAAACTCCGCAAGATTGCTTCCACCCTCAAATCGTACAAGAAAACACTTATAAAAAAATATATATATTTTTCTCACTTTTAGCTGCTCGACATTATATCTAAATTTTATATAAACTGCCGAGCATCGTGTCCTGAAAAGAGCCGCTAATTTTTGCGGATTCAAATTGAATTTATCGTAGTCAGAAATAGGGAGAGAGAATTCATGAAAAATATTTTTAAGGTATAAGTTAGATAGACACTATTACTCTTTTAGAGGTATTATTTACTCATCCATTGATATAGACTAAACCCTTCTCCTTTTCCTGTGTCAAAGCGATTGTCTTTGCCTCTCCTATGTCGTTGCCATCGACAATCACGTTCGCATCGTACTGCCGACACGCCGTAATCTTCATTATCGGAGCTACTACCGACATCACCACCGTCACAGGTATCTGCAATTCTTTTCTGTGATAGCATCGAACCAGGGCGTGATTGTCCAAGGAGACCGATATGACACCTGTACGCTTCTGTACGTCGTTGAGGTGCAGTAGAGCGTTTCGGGTACCATGTTCCTTAAAACTACAGTAATTTGAAAGAAATCTTTCTTAATGTAAAGGTCCATACCGACAGGCGTAATGTCTAAATAATTTAACTAATCTTAATCCTAGGTTCTAATTATCATAGAAACCTATACTGGATTCAATTGTGTGATTTTGTAGTCACAATTTAAGATTTATTAAGAACAGCCGGACAATCGTTTCGCGTCACTTCACGTTCTCTGACAGACGTTGCAAACCAAAATTAGTACGACAACTGCTAGTAAAACATAGAAAAAATGAACGGTATATGGAAGTTTCTCACAGCCGCGCTTGACCATTGGTGATGTCACATGTATATACGGTATCTCCTAGTACTCTAATAACTTATATTAATCAACACGCTTGCTATGAGCGTCACAAATGTATGACACACCGTTTTCCTACAAGAGACAAGCGTCACGTACATTGACAACAATAAATTTTGCTTTCTTCCTTTATATACCTACATAAACTCGAAATCTGTTTCTAGACTATCGTATAAAAATATAGCGTAATCAACATGCAAACGAGAGTATTTAAATTAATCGTGACAACAAATATTAACAAGAGTTAAATAACATTTTTCGATTAAAATAACGTGTTTTGATATTACCCAATTTATAACACGTTATATACATATAACTTGTTTCTACAATTATCATCAACTTTCCCTAAGCAATAATCTGCAAATCAGTTGTGTTAATGTTGAAACAGGGAAATGTTAACGGTAAGACAAGATAGGAAAGTGTTGAAGATCAATTTCTACTTACTTAATCAAATTCAACTTTTTATGTTTATTCTACTTAGAAGTATCTTCTCATTTTTCTCATTTTTCATTTTTTAATTCATTCTTCTTTTACTATGACCATGTTATCGATCAACGAATCCATGGTAGCAAACGCATTATATCCCACCATGGGAACGGCTAATCCATCGGCGAAAGTAGATTATATGTGGGTGTAGGTTGGTTTACCGGCTTCGCGCGTCGCATAATAACTCGCGCACCTTTCCGATTCGACCCCTTAAAGTTCAAGAACGTTCGTTACTAATGTATTCATCTCAGACAACAAGAATCATTCCTTGAAATACTCGAGTTTGACACGTGGCACGAAAAAGCGATTTAATATAATAAACCGATAATCAAGAAGTTGAAGGAGAACAAAACCATGAACTTACCATAATCATGCAACTCGGATAAACTGCTTTAACAGCTATCGCAACACCTGCTATTAATCCAGCGCCACCGACTGGAACCACTACAGCGTCGATGTCTGGTACTTGCTCCACGATCTTTAAGCCGAAAGTTCCTTGACCAGCTATAATATTTGGATGATGATATCTATTTAAAACAGAAAGAAACACTAAAGAGAAAAACGTCATACAATTATCGTCAATTTTGAGACGAAAATTTACCGAAATAAAGAAAAATGCTGATCGACCGTTAATTATTGCTATAATTATAATTATAATTATAACGATCGCTTTCCTTGCAAGAGAAAGTCTAAATAAAATGTTTCTTCCTGATTTTAATAAACGTTTTGGATATATAAAAAAATAAAAATACAAGATATGTACATCTCTACAAGTGTTTTCTTATTATACATGTTTACTAGTTAGTACTTACCCCCAAAATTTAGCCCAATATATCTAATAGTCATTGTAAGCGAATAAACCTTAAAAAATTGCGAGATATATAGAAAGATATTTCAAATATGTTGGGCTACTTAATGCGTTACTTTAATTAATTATCACTACCTACATAAATGTTATTATATAACTGTCATACATCACTATATGGTTACATATATATATATATAT